ATCACATCAGAAAAGCTCTCCTGAGTGAAGGCAGAGTTATATTAAGTATGTCTATATCAACAATATTTATTAAATTCATATATCTGTGCAATGGACTATGAAGTCTGTAGAAAGTTCTATGAAAAGGAACACTAAAGAGACTCTGATTACGTCGAGGATTACGTAGACCATGATAATAGGGAACATTGAGACCAACTTGAGCCAGGAGATCAGGACAATCAATCCAGCCATTTATAATTTTTGTTATAAAGACAGAGCCAAACATATTACGGTGTTTACTTAAAGGAGGCAAAAAGAGTTGCTGCTCAACAATCTCATAGTCATGGTTGACAATCCTATATCTAAAATTACTTTTGAAAGCACAAGCCCGTAAAAATGTATGCTCGACTCACCATTTTGTCAGGCGATTTAAATTCTCCTGCAAAAGATCCTGGTCGGAAAAGCTTTCAACCGCTCTCCAGAACTTGAGGTCATCGGCGAACATTAAACATTTACTATTTATAAAACAATCCACAATGTCATTCACTAAAACCTTGAACAGCAAGGGTGAACAGTGTCCGCCCTGTGGAACACCAGACGTCACTTGAATAGTCACAGAGCTGAGGCACCCAATTTTGACATGCTGGACACGATCTGTAAGCGAGCTCTCAACCCACAATACAAAGTTTGAGTGAAAACCGATTTTATGCAGTATTTATTTATTTATTTATTTATTTATAAATATTAAAGACAATATTTTTGTTGATATATTCAGGAGAAAAAGAAGAGGAGGGAGAGTCCTAATACCTTGTGTACACCGTTTGAAATTTTTTTTATATTGATTAACAATATCTTGACCATTCTCCGCAGTTTCATCACCATAGAAAAGAGTACTAGCGAGACTATGACTAGAGCGCTTGTCACCAATGAACTTCCAAAACAATCTAGGATCATCCTTCAATCTCATATCAAAGCCCCTGATATAACTATTGAAACAAGCATCAATATCAGTTTCTAGCTCAATAATTGTATCGGGTGACTTTAATATAAATTTTGAGGATTCGAATTCTATATCTACAATCCGACTAAAAAATTTGCTGGAATCTCATAATTTACAAATGCATGTGAAGTCACCAACACGGGTTTCACAGCACTCTTCTACATTAATCGATTATGTGTGTTCTAATTTTAATTTTAATTGTAATAATGTTGTTTGTTCGGTGATTGATGCTGGCTTGTCTGACCACAATGCCGTTGTTTGTAAGTTTTTAAAGTGTCCACAACAGAATGTCCCTAGATATAAGTATGGTAGGATTTTTAGTCAGGTTAATTATGATAGGTTTTATCAATCGTGTGCTACTGTTTCTTGGGATGGTGTCCTTGTTTCCCAGGACCCAATCCAGACATTTCATGGAATTTTATCAAATATATTCAATGCAGTATTTCCCACAAGGAAAATAAGAATAAAAATTAAGAAACCGTGGTATACTAAGGGCCTTAAAGTCTCCTCAGCTAACCTGCACTCTATCCATATGATCAGAAAGTATACCAATAGCGAGGAATTTTTTGATTATTTCAACAGATACAGCACGCTTTATAGAAGACTGATTAAAACATCAAAGCAAATATATTATTCCGGTCGTTTGTATAGGGCGGCAGATAAACAGAGGGAGAGTTGATCAACAGTGAATGATATTCGCCAGAATAATGGAACTTCACGGAATGCTTGTGAGTCTGAAATGTCCCCAGATACTGTAAACAGTTTTTATTGCTCTATAGCCAAGAATCTCACTGGGAATGTCGTTCCATCTGTTGATCCACTCCATTATCTTTCGGATATATCGGTGGAGAATTATTTTTTCTTTGTACCAACTAACATTCATGAACTTATGGAGGCTATTTCTGGTGTCAGGACTAGGAACTCTTCAGGTTTTGACGAAATGTCTGTGAACATATATTTAAACTTGCCCGTTGCTGTACTGGGTATATTGGTACAAGCAATTAATATTTCTTGGGAGTCAGGGATCTTCTCTCCATGCTTAAAAACGGCCAAAGTTATTCCTCTTTATAAGGGAGGTGATACAGATGAACCTTCAAATTACCGGCCAATTTCATTGTTATCTACGCTCTCTAAGATTATCGAAAAATTGGTTAAATCGCGAATGACCTCATTTATGAATGTAAATAATATTTTAAATAGTAGCCAGTTTGGATTCCAGGAAGAAAAGAGTACTAATGATGCTATGTTCAGATTATTGGAAGACTTATATTCACGAATTAACAGGGGTGGAGTAGCCGCGGCAGCGTTTTGTGACTTGTCCAAGCCGTTCGACTGTGTTAGTCATGAAATTCTTTTACGTAAGCTTCATTCCTATGGTTTCAGACGGGTGGCACTTTCTTGGTTCGAGTCATACTTGGCTGGACGCCACCAGAGAGTTTTTATGAAGTCTGGATATTCAGAGAGTCAGAGTATTGATTGGGGGGTTCCTCAGGGATCCGATTTGGGACAAACTCTCTTTCTCCTATTTATTAATGATTTGCCTACTTTAGACATTAGTGGAAGGTTTACACTTTTCGCGGATGACACTACAGTCTTGTGGCACTGTAGAGATTTGGCTTCCTTACATGATAATATTTCTAATGATATTAAGAAAATCAAGGCTTGGTGTGATGCAAACCTTTTGTTACTGAATTTTGAGAAAACAAATGTTGTAAGCTTCAAATGTCACATGGAGGGTTTGGTTATTGGGGATACTGCCATTGAGAATCGTACTAGCGTGAAGTTTCTCGGACTTATCATAGATAATGAGCTTAGGTTTGAGTCCCATATTGTTTCTCTGGGCAAAAGAGTAGCTTCAGGATGCTACGCGGTCAAGATTACGGTCAATGAATTGGGTCCTTCAATGGGCCAAACTGTCTACTACTCGCTTATTGAGTCACGTCTCAGATATGGGATCTGCTTCTGGGGCATGTCTGGTTTGCGTTTGCTGAACAGCTTGTTTGACTTGCAAAAACGAGCAGTTAGGTATTTCAGTCGAGCGAAGCCACGAGATTCATGCAGGCCATTGTTTTTGAGCCACAAAATTCTGATATTGTACAGTCTATTTATCTTGGAAAGTGTTTGTATTGTCTATAAAAATTGTCACAATTTAATATCCCCTAGCTCGCGTTACAATACTCGCCAGTTGCTTGATTTACCTCTTCCTATACCTACCTTAACTCTTACTAAAAAGTCTGTGATATACAAAAGTATAAAAATGTATACTCATTTACCCAATGAAGTTAAAGTTTCTCCGACATTGAAACTGTTTAAAAATGGGGTCCGAAGGCTATTGATTGGTAAGGCGTATTACAGTATTGACAAATTTTACAGAGACTTTTAAACTGTACATTTTATTTTTAAGCTTTCGCTTCACCACTCTATTCATTTTATTTATAAGTTTTAATCGAGGTTTTAATTGTTTAATTGTGGCTTGATTGTTGCTGTGACTGTCAATTTTAGCTAGTGATAATTTCCTCCCCTACTCTATTTACTTTAGTTTTTTTTTTCTGCATTATGCGGGGCCGGATTAAGGGGGGGGGCTTTGAAGGCTAAAGCCCCGGGCCCCGAAATGAGGAGGGCCCCAAAACACCACCTCACACGGGAAAAAAATCATGCATATAATATAATTTTACAATTTCGATTCCGCCATCTATTATCTATCAATTATATCAAACACAACACTAACCTATAATATTATTATTGAATAGCTGGTATAATTATTGATAGATGGCGCACTATCCGCATAAAAGCTACAGTGACTTTATACAAGACAATGGCGACAATAGGAACCTTGATAGGGCCCACTCGCCATGTTTTGTCAAAACAAAATTGCATAAAACTCCATAGGATTAAATGATTAAAACAAATTGATTTTGTCAAAACATGGCGGATGAACTACGTAATTCTGAGAACCAATCAAAAATGGGACAACCCACTGTCGCCACTGTCTTCCATAAAGTCACTCTAATAAATGCACCTGCAAGGTAAAGTTTTGTTTATGTGACGTTTGAATTTATTTCAGGGACCTAGGGGCCCTTTTTGTGAAAATAGCCCTGGGCCCCAAAAGATCTTAATCCGACCCTGGCATTATGTTAAAGTATTGTCACTCTGTTTGTTTGATTTATTAGTTTTAATTAGCTATTTGATTGTTGCTGTAAGTGTTGACTTTGACTTTGATAATTGATGATTTTCCTTATGTAATATTTATGCTTTGTCAATGAGACTATTGTCTTAAGATAATAAAGCTTATTTTGAATTTGAATCCTCTTGCACTCAGAGTGAAGCTGAGAAAACCTCATACAATTTAAATAAGACCGGTTGTTTATTATATTGCTTGTTTATTAATCAATAAATCAGTAGGGACTTGTTGAGATCATGAAATAATAAATGTTAATTTGAAGGGCCTCTCTTAATAAAGAGACTATTTAGGAGACCAAATTCTTGTTTTATAGATAAACTTGAGTATACTATTGTTCATTGCTCAATCAGGAGACGGATTTGCACCATAGGTACTAGAGTTTCCTTAAATATTCAGAACTTATTTAATCTCAGAATTCTGGATTGCTACAATCAATGATCACAAGTGCACTAGTGAAATCATCAACAGGTGTCTTCATGATCATGAGTTTAAAAAGATGAAGTGTCTGTTTTGAAAATCATGACATGTTTTAACCTGTCGTGACAAATGGATTAGTAACTTCTTATGTACTTCTTCCTTGTAAAATGGAAAACGATGTCTTGATAAAACGCAATGCAGCAGCGGAAAAAGTGCACAGTTTGCAATAATTAAATCACACACTACATTGTATGGTACATGACTTTAAAGTGAATGATAAAAACTTTACTCATGCTGAGGTCAATGATTGCCAGTCAAAAATAGAACACAAACGGTATCTGGCCATGGAGGAATTTTGAGGTCACAATGCATTTTTTTATGCATCAAAATTTATCAGCGTTTGCTTCCGAAATAAACACTTACCTGCTAACAAAAATTGGTTACGAGTAACAACACTTCAATGAGAACCTATTGAGGTCCCTCTAAATTAAACTAGATTATAATTTACTGAAAACTGGATCGGCACAAACTCTTTTATAAATTTCTAACCGGAAGCTTCAAACAGATATAAATTGCGAACGTGAACTACGGAAATGCAAAATGCAAAAGAAAAGAGAATGCAGTTTTTTTTTCAATTTATGATTGTTCTTATGTGTCAAGACTGTCAAGTAGTCAAATGTCATTATTGTCGATAATCAACACACTGAGGTTTTCATTTGTATCTATTTACGTGACCTGGTTCATACCTGTTCTTGAATTCTCTCAAGAATGGCTTTCTTGTTTGGAGGGTTGATTTGAAATCAAATCAAAGGTTTATATGGTTTTGGTATCAAACACTTTACAATGCAATCGAGGTTATGTTTAAGGCTGTTCAACTGTTCATTTGTACTTGCTCTACCTGCTCGAAAAATCAGGAAGATGTGCTATTTTTGAGCTTATGCCACATATGAGACAAGTGAACGCCGATCTGCTGCTGAGATTTGCTTGATCAAGAAAAGCAGTACAAATGAGCACCCTATGTTATAACATTTTCGATTGCTCCCAGAGCGTTCCCTGACTGGGTGGTGATGTCACAGATCTCTGCAGGGGTACTCCAAGAGCGATTATAATCCAAACGAGGGCGCATCATTTGAAATCAATAGCCGAACGTACTATATAACTATTTCATGAGCTGAATCAAATCAACTGATTGAGTTCATTCGGGGCTATCCGAATTTTCAGTTACAGTTCCCTAGTTCCGTGTTCGCGGTTCAACAGCAAACGGTTCCGGATCAATTTTGAACAAGTTCTGCCGGTGCAAGAAATGTATTTTTATTTTTGTAGTTCGGGTAGTTGGGTAAGAAACAAGTTTCCTGTTCCGAAATGGTTTGAGGAAATCACTGAGGCGAAGGGATATAAAATGATTCACTAACTAAAGAACTTATATAAGTATATCTGGTCTTGGGACGAGCTTGCTGTGACTTAAAATTCTGCACTGGTTCATACATAATTCGTCATGGGCTCTATGAGAATTCTGAATTAGTTCGGAATGTGATCAGCGAACAAAACTGATAACTTTGTTCGGGGTAAGAATCAAAATACACATGTCACTGTCCAAATGGTTGCACCAGAGTTGTCTGTTAGAATTCGGCAAGAAGATTTGTATTTTGTTCTATGTATTTGTGTAACAAATGGATATCAGTGCAAACGTGTGCAAACTACCCACAAACTAACACAAACACGCCCTCAACACTTGCCCACCACATTCATTTATCGGTGGTGAACTCTGAAAAAAGCCTATTGTGGCTACCGTCAAATGTCAAATGTCATATCAAATCAAACGTCAAAAGTTGGCGTCCCAACCAAACCGAAAACGTAAATAAACGATTTAAAAACAAATAATTTTTCTCAAGTTACACAAAAAATAAATCTTCAATCATCCTTTCGAACTTGATATTTTTACAGGAAATTTCTTTGGAAAATTAAAGCAAACACATCAAAATGTCCATCGGTGTGCCAATTAAGGTCCTCCACGAAGCGGAAGGGCACATAGTGACCTGCGAAACTATTACCGGCGAAGTTTACAGAGGAAAACTTATCGAAGCCGAAGATAATATGAATTGCCAAATGACTCAAATCACTGTGACTTACCGGGACGGCAGAGTAGCTCAGCTAGAAAATGTTTACATTAGAGGTTCGAAAATGAGATTTTTAATACTGCCGGATATGTTGAAAAATGCTCCTATGTTTAAGAAGCAAACTAAGGCTGGGGTGGCTGGGAGAGGAAAATCTGGGATACTTCGAGCTCAAGGTAAGGATATTTGTTTTAATTGGGAAATAGGAAATTTTGTTTCATAGCATAAGTAAACAATAAACATTGCAAATCATAAACATATCCCATAAACATTAAACAACAAGCGAGATAACGAGCATAGGTCTTCAGGGTAGGGTGCTAATCGCAGTTAATAAAAACCCTAAGTTTCAACTGTTATCATCCACTGTAGATTCTATAGAGCAGCTCTTTGTTATGGTGAACTTGGACAAAAATCCTATTTTATTTGGAAATGTTTTTATTCCTTCTAATTCGCCTTGTGAAGATTACAAAAGGTATTGTTCTTCTGTATTGTATATTTTTGAGAAGCATCCTACACTGATTGTACAACTCACTGTACATTATTCCCATATGCCACGAGAAGCTTAACAAGTGATAAGCCCTTTGGGATTATCGCGCTTGGTGGCAATTAGTTGTATTCCTTTCAAGAGCTTAGAACCCTAGAGCTACTCGCTCCAGTTTTAGTCGACCCCGATTTGAAAGGAACAGATGCGCTGGCTTCCGTGCATTTAAATGATTTGATTGGGGCTTGAGCACTTCAGGTGCAACAAACACTTTTCGAAAGGAAGAAGCGCGTAACGCCCCCGAGCTGTTCCGGAGCTCCTCCTATTTGTGAAAGGAATACAACTACTTATAGTAAATTCTATTATAGAAATTTTTTCAAATTCTAAAGTATTTAAGTTTAGTTCGTTGTATAACCTTTTGAATACCACTCGATGTTTCACGATTATCTAATACTTTCACCTGACACTCAACGCAATACCAGCAACACCACTCCTCCTTTGGAGTCATGGTGTTGCTGCATAACATGTTTCGTGACAGGTAAAAGTATTATCTGGTAATCCTCAAACCTCTTGTGGTATTACATTCGACAATCTTGATATTTTCTCGTTCAGATGGTATGCCTGTTTCTGTCATTAGAAAGAATATTTACATGCTGTCTCACCTCAAATCTTGTTTAAAATCTATAATAGATCATTATCCTCAATAATTACAGATAAAATTACAGCTTTACAACATGGTTTTATGAGAGGCAAATCCACAGTCTCAAAGCTATTAGAATTTGTGCAGACTCTGTTTGATTCACTGGAGGAGGAGTATCATGTAGATGTGATATTAACCACTTTTCCAAGGCGTTTGACAGAGTCCACCATAAAATTCTCGAAAAAAAAAACTTGAGAGTACTTAAAGGGTTCCAAAGAGTCTTTTTAAGGTGGGTAATGGATCACATTTCAGGAAGAATACACAAAGTAAAAATAGAAAACTCAGCCTAATCATAGATTAACATCATTCCTGGTGTTTTGCATGGTGGGCTTCTGTCCACTTTCTTTTTCAATATTTTCCTGAATAATGGTAACAACACAAAAAATATTCATGTCTGTAAAATTTCACAAAGCGAACTTGTCAATTTCTTCAGTTGGTGTGAAGATCACTTGGCATGAAACATCAATAAGTGCAAAATCATGTTTAAGGTCATGTCTTTCTATAGATCCAAAAATCCACATATTTTCAACTATTTAATAATTGGAATTAGAATTGAACTTGATAGGGTCAGTGGCGACGTGTGACCAGTAGTCTGGGGGGGGGGGGGTAAATGGTACGGGGTGCTGAGGAGGCGCCCTCCAAAAACGCCGGCGAAATTTTTCACAAATTTCAAGGTCATTCACTTTTCCAGAACAATTATTTCATTTGTGAAAAAAATAAAACAAAACAAAAATGTTTTTTCTTCAATATATTATGTATTTTCTTTTTGGCATCGTGATTTTTCTCTTGATAATTCGATCCTGGGGGGGGGGGGGTAATTACCCCCAGTACCCCCCCACCCCCGACGCGACGCCCCTGGATAGGGTTTATGTCATTAGGGATCTTTTCGTTTTTCTAGATGTTGAATTAAATTTTTCCAAGCATATTGAAAGAGTATCCAAGCTATGCGATTATTGGATTTGTAATGCAAAACATAAGAGTTCGCCAAGTCTTGGAGCATGTATGTCCTATAGTTGGAGATGTGAATTTAGACTTGCTAAAAAATGCGGGTGCTGTATTAGATTATAAAAACTCTTAAAGATTGAATGGATATCAAATACAAAATACTATTACAACTGAAAATGCAAATCCTTACTACATAGGGGCTATTTTGTATAACAAGATACCTATTAGCAAACGTCAATTAAATCAGAATGAGTTCTTATGTTTTATTAAAAATATTTTATTGGAAAATGCATTCTATACAGTGGAGGAGTTTCTAAACTTTACGCAGTGGAAGATATAAAAGAATACTTCATAAAAATTGTAATAGGTATATTATTTGATTATTCTTATGCTTATTGTTATAAATAGGTATTTAATTATTTATAATGTTACGTTATTGATTAGTATGTAATGCAAATTTTATCTGTAAATATTTTCCTATATCCTGTATGTGATCCTTGGAAATAAACATCTATCTATCTATCTATCTATCTATACTCGAACAACAACCAATACAGCTTCAATACTTGATCACATCATTACAAACAAGAATATTATTTGCAATCTAACATTAGCAGATAATTCAATATCTGATCATAAAATAGTCTACATAGAAGTAAAAAAAATGACATTCAGTGAAGAGTAGGAAATTTTTAAGAAAGTTTACCTGAATACAGAGGCATGGTTACATAGTGTGGGTTTGAGGCATGAACAGGAAGATATAGAAACATTTGAACAGCTTGCGAATATCATAACTGAAACCACAAAAGAACATATATCAGAAAAAATACTAAAAATACAAACAAAAAATTATTGGATAAATGACTCATACATAAGGATGCTTTGGCAACGAGACAAATTATACATAAGGTGGAAGAGAATTCAAAATGATCACACCGAGAAAGAGTTCAAAAAGGCAAAAAATAAACTAAACAATATGAGACGTTATTCACAAAAAAAGTATGCAGAAAAACAGTTCCAAGAAACAAATGGCGATCATAAAAAAGTCTAGAAAGTCTTAAATAATTTTTGTGGTAGAAGTGGACACAAAAGCAAAATTCACAAAATTATAGCGACAGATGGTAGAAAACTGGAAAGCGACACAGAAATAGCTCATGAATTCAACAGGCATTTTTCAAATATTCGCTGTACTCTTGCTTCAGGCATAATAGACCCCCAGAGACAATTTGAAGAACAATCGATAAATGAAAGTATATTCCTTATCCCAACTGATGTAAATGAAATTAAAGAAACAATAACTGCTCTTAAGAACAACTGTGCTCCAGAAATGGACAATGTGACAAAGTCCGATCTCTTAAAATTATTCCACATAATTGGAGAGAAAATGGTGAAAATGATCAATAAAATCCTTGAAACAGGTATTTATCCACAAGAGCTAGTGATTCCTAAAGTCATACCACTGCATAAAAAAGGCGCTCAAGATGAGCTAAATAACTACCGACCAATATCCCTGCTAAGCACCTTCTCCAAAGTACTTGAAAAAGTCATTAGAACCAGACTAATAAGTTTTATCAATGGTTCCTTTAAATTTGATAATGGGCAGTATGGTTTCAAAAAAACAATAGTACCTTGGGTGCTACTGTAGATCTTCTGGAATATGTATCAAACGAAATTGACAAAAACAAGATTGCAGTATTGGTGCTCATTGATCTTCAGAAAGCCTTTGATACAGTCAATATCGACATCCTCCTTAATAAATTGTATAATATGGGATGCAGAGGAATTACCTACAAACTGTTGCAAACATATTCAAAGAACAGAGAACAATACACAGTTGTAAATGATGTATCTAGTAGTAAAGCAGGTGTACAAGTTGGTGTAGCTCAGGGATCAGTTTTGGGACCCTTACAATACTTACTTTATGTTCATAGTATGAAATTTATCGGACTTCGAGCAAAGTATTTCATGTTTGCTGACGATACCGGTTTAGCGTATACAAGTGAAGATGGTCAAATGGTTGAAGACATTGTAAATAAGGATCTTAAAATTAATGTACTATGATTAGCTATTCTATAACAAACTAAGCATAAACATTGAGAAGACCGTGTACTTGACAGTCACCCAAAAAGGAAAAAAGGCTAATCAACATCATATTAAAATAAATGATACTACTTTAAAAAAAGTGAACAAATATAAATATTTGGGTCTTCTAATTACAAGTAAGCTGTCATGGGAGACTCACATTGAAAGTGTGATTCAAAAAGTAGTACCATTCATAGGGGCAGTAAAAAGGTGTGTGCACCAACTAAATAAAAACACAAGGTATTTACTATACAGTGAGCACGTAAAGGTTGGAATAAAATCTATAAACTATACAGGGTGGATATTTTTCAAAAAACCTCGGACACGTCAATTTTTGATTTTATTGGTCGTTTTTTAGATGATAATACCATGTATACAAGGTGACTCAAAAACAAGTTATGATAGCTAACTTTATTTTTTTAAATGAAAACACCAATTTTTTATTTCATTTTCAAATTCTACGTTAAATTCTGAATCTATTTCATGTAACATGCCCTATACCTATCTTTAACTGTTTTGGAAATATTGACAGTTGGACATTGACTTTTTTGCAACTTTGAGGGCTGTAGAACCTAAACGGTTTATTTTAGAGCAAAACCGATCATACATTCTTATCTTAGTTTTCCATAAACTACGAAGATTAAATTTAATTGGAATTTTTAATCATGGATTAAATTCAAAGTTGGTATCAAGTGATAGTTTATAAAAAATCTAAGACAGGTATGTAAAATGGGTTTTCCCCTAAAATTAACCGTTTAGGTTGTACAGCCTGTCAAAGTTGCAAAAAAGTCAATTTTCAACTGTCAATATTTCCGAAACAGTTGAAGATAGGTATAGGACATGATACATGAAATATGTTTAGAATTTAACGTAGAATTTAAAAATTAAATAAAAAATTGGTGTATTCATTTGAAAAAATAAAGTAAGCTGTCATAACTTATTTTTGGGTCACCCTGTATACAGGGTGTATATTTTAAGTGATACCACTATTGCTATATTCGAAACGGTAAGAGCTACAAGGTCAGTCAAATTAGAAAAAAGTTGCCCTTTTTGATGCCCATTCAAGACTCGTTTACAGTGTTGCCAAATTCTTTTTAGTTTATGAAATACAGGGTGATTTCTAAGAAACGCCCAAAACTATTTCCTCAATTATTTTGAAAACTATTGATTTTCAAGACACAATTTAAATTTGAAAGTTTTTTAATTTTTTTCACTCTACAACATGGTGTCATCAAATTTCAAATCCGATGTTTCGTAATCGAGCTACCATCATCAACTTAATTTTTTTAAATACGGACCTGGATTTTTTATGTCATTTTTAGGAAGTGCCTTTTATTCCCTTGGTAAAAATGACATAAAAAGACCAGGTCCGTATTAAAAAAAATGAAGTTGATGATGGAAGCTCGATCACGAAACATCGGATTTGAAATTTGATGACACCATGTTGTAGAGCGAAAAAAATTAAAAAACTTTCAAATTTAAATTGTGTCTTGAAAATCAATAGTTTTCAAAATAATTGAGGAAATAGTTTTTGGCGTTTCTTAGAAATCACCCTGTATTTCGTAAACTAAAAAGAATTTGGCAACACTGTAAACGAGTCTTGAATGGGCATCAAAATAGGCAACTTTTCTATAATTTAACGGACCTTGTAGCTCTTACCGTTTCGGATATAGTAATAGTGGTATCACTTAAAATATACACCCGTATAATGTATTATCATCAAAAAAACGGCCAATAAAATCAAAAATTGAATGTCCGAGATTTTTTGAAAAATATCCACCCTGTATATTTTATAGATTTTATTCCAACCTTTACGTGCTCACTGTATAACAGCTTTATTGAACCACATCTCAGGTACTTAGTTCCGTGTTGGGAAAATGCCAGTGAATACCCATTGGATAAATTACAAAGAACACAAAACAAAGCCATAAAAGCAATATTTTCATTAGTGTGGTCAACCCCCAGTGAACAGTTACATCAGCTATTTCCATTTTTGAATACCAGACAATTGAAATGCCTAGAACAAAGCAAGTTAATATACTATATGAAGAAAAGTTTGATCAAAACAAATGTCACTCTGAGGGAAACAAATGAATACCATATGTATAACAAAAGGACAAATACAAACATTAGGAACAACCATGTTAGGACAAAAAAGGGACAGGACTCTCCAGTTTACCGAAGTGTACAGACATTCAACAAAATACCCAAAGTTAATTTTATAGGAAGTCAATCGAAAGTGAGCCGTAACTTGAAAACGTATATTAAAGATAGTTTTTGAAGGAATATATTTCTGTAATTTATTATTATCTACTCAATATGTACTTATTATATAACTGTTAGTTTTTGAGGGCCTTGGTACCAATATGTATTGTACTGTTTTAAGGTCTGGAAAAAATAAATAATAAAAAAATAATAATATGATCTTGTCACCTCAGCATCCCAAATATAAGATTGCTATTACTTAGACCAAGAATTATTGTTTAAAATGGCAAGTCTGTAAATAAAATTCATTTATTAAAACTGACATTATATTTTTACAGTGGCAAGAGGTCGTGGAAGGGGTGGTCCGCCTCAAAGAGGCAGAGGAAATGCTCCTTGGCAGCAGCAAGTCAGCGCAGGTGGCAGAGGCAGATAGTTTCCTACATATTCTTAAGGTTTTTTTTTTGTACATAAGTATTAAAGGAAAGTTCAGTCTAATTTGGGGAATATTTAATAAGAAATTTGTTTTGTCACTTCAATAAAGGTCAGTTAGCAAATAAATAAAATTTCCTATTGATGTTTATTTAGACTTAATTGATAAACTAATAAAACTTGTATTGATGATACAATAAAGAAATATTACTTTCCTAAGATTTTTTTCATTTCTTTATTTTGTTGTAAAATTTTAATATCTACTTCCTCAGTTTTCCTTGCTATGTCGCTTATCAAAATGTTTTGATCATCAATTTCCTCACCGATATCAGTAGCAAGGGATTTTAACCTGAAATTAAAAAGATTTTATATAAAATTGCATCAACTAATATAGGTTTGTTTACATTGAAATACTTTTGGACATTTCACTCATGTTATTGTTGAATCTAGAATTGAAATCAGGTGGATTTTGTACTTCTTGAGCATCAGATTGTACAGAAAAATTATTATAATTAGTCATATTTTGTTCTAAATTGGATTTTTCTATGTGCTTGTCATCATCCAGTATTGTTTTTACACTTATTTCATCTTGAGCCTTTTTTTTGTTACCGAACCAACTTTTCAGTCCACCAAACATAGATGTTAATCCATTTATATTTTTTTGTGATGTCACAAGAGTGTTATTGAGATGGTCCAATTGTCCGTCGATCTTTTTCAATTGACGTCCCTGAACGTAAAGTTCGGATGCTGTAGAAATACCGCATTCTTGAGTTTCATGTAGAAGCGCCAAACTTTCTTCTGTTGATTTGAGAGTTTCTTCTTCAATTCTACATTTGTCTTCCTCATATTTCTGTATCTAAAAAAATATTTAGGTAGGATTTAAATTGATGATATTGTTTGTTTTACTTACACATTCCCAACTCATGATGTTTTTAAAAAGCAAAAACAGCTTTTAGGAAACCGCTCTAGTTTTGCACCAAACTAGCTTTAAAATGCAAAACAAATAATCTTTATCTATTGTTTAAATTTAACTTACCACCAAATTATAATTTAAACAAAAGCGTAATGTGTAAATAAGTACTTAATTATTCCTAATAGCCTGAAAATTGTATTTACTTAATGCAAAAGTTTGCTTTTTAAATATTGAAAAAGTATTTACTCTCAGAATTGTACCTTAAAGATCGAGAGGCTTTAAACAACCACAAAAGTGTTGACTTGCAAGTCTTTGGGGTTTGGTGGATTCTATAAAAACCATATTTTCCAAGACATATGCATTTATGTTTATAATAAATACAAAAAAATAAACTAATACTAAGTAAAATGAACAAAATATATATGTATGTAACAAAATATAGATAAATTAACAAATTTTAATAGCCTTAATAAAAAATATTCAATTATGTTTTCCTAATTTAATAGCCTACCCATTACAAGAAGCCAAATTTTACATTAGACAATACTAGTTTAGTGTATAAATGTTGTTTTTGGTTGCTTTATTGTTCAAGTTCCATCTTCACATTGCTATAAAACCATAGCTGCTATTCATAAAAAGATAAGGGAAACTGCCAAGCAAATTGTGTTAAACAATTATGTGAAATTCTTGTTAAGTTCATGTTCTGTATTTTTCTATAAGTAACATTCTTCTACTAACTACAAATTATTTAAATGAAAACCTATCTAAAAAATAAATTATACTTTGTATATATATATCGGGTCTGCTTCTGCAGAAATCACAAACTAGTCAGAGCAAATTTTATTGGTTGAAAACAGTCAGAAAACTAGTTTCAATCAATGAAATTCACTCTGACTGGTTTGTGATTTCTGCAGAAACAGGCCTATTATAAAATTATCTGTTTCTACAAAAATTTGTTGACCAGTTTTAGACCAATTAAAATTACAATAACCAGTTTGTGCTTGCACCAAAAATAGATTTTATTATTTTTCAAATAAAGCAACTCGGTGACAAAGTTTTTGTTTGCCAGTTCCAATAAAGTTTATTAGGTACTTGGTGAAACTCCAGCTACATTTATTTTTATTTCTTCATAAGTTTCATCATATCTTTATTTTGCTTATGTATAGTCATATCAGCTTGTTCAGTTTTATAAGTAATATTATCAATCAGATCATTTTGAGTATCAATTTCTTGACCCAATTCACCTGCTAGGCCTTTCAATCTATAATAAATAATGATTATTTATATAAGAGTTATAAATTTGATTTAAAAAAGTACGAGTACCTTGAAATATTGTTGCACATTTCTTGTAAATTTGCATCTAATTTTGCACTAAAATCTCTACTGCCAGAACCTGTAGAAGTGGGCAAATTATAGTCGTTTCCTCTTAATCTTGTTGTTGGATGTTCATCATAACGGTCGTAGGTTTGGAGTTTCTCTTGCAGATTTGCATTTGATGTAGATTCCTGTAAACAGTAGATACTTATAATTATTGATATGGTGCTTTAAAAAATAGAAAATTTGGAATATTTACATTGATAACTTCTCTTACCCTTACTGTACTAGGTGTAGAACTAGATGTTGTGGGACTCTTATCGTTTTTCCCAGCCACATAATTTTTCAAGCTGCTAAAAACCGATTTAATGCCATTAATGTGTTTCTGTGAAAATCTCAGGGTATTGTTAATATCATCCAATTGCTTATCAGTTTTTTCAAGTTTCTCCCTTTGTCTCATCAATTCTTCTGCAGTAGCTATTCCGATCTGTTCCGAATCTCTTAAAATACTCAAACTTTGCTCGCTACTACGAATGGTATTTTCTTCTATTTGTTTTTTGCGCTCTTGGAAAGTTTGAATCTACAATGATTGAAGATTTTAAAATAGTTGGTTGAGGTGATTCTATTGAAATTTACCTGAGCATCAAAACTACTATTATGACCATGAGAACTTGGGGGTGGTCTTCTAGAATTTTTTAAAAAGCTTTCATCATCTATATCATCCTCGAAATCATCATCAAAGGGATTCCTTGATTTAATATATCTTGGACCAGACATTTCAATTGAATTTGGTTAATGTAAAAGATGATACTTATTTACTCAGTGCTGATACTTAGCAATCAGCAGAAAGAAAAAAAATTATTAAAAATTGAGATTATGATGATATAAACAAAGGGTCATAGTCAGGGGGGTGTTCAATGGTTGACAAGATGAGCAAGTGACAGTGGGGGGCCAGCTCAACTTTTGACAAGTGCTTGACAAAACGGATAGAGATGGGTTCGGCGGGGGCTTTGGTTCGGCTTGCTCACTCCGAGTGACTCCATTCGCACTCCAGCCGTTCGGGTATTATTTTTTGACGTTGACTCTATTAGTGTTCGACTATACGGAGTGGAGTAAATGGAATTCACTCCAAAACTTCCACCTCGGAAAGAGAATTTTTTAGAGTAGAGAAGTGAAATGTGGAAACTGTCAAACTTGTGTTCTGTGTTGTCACGTTGTGGCTGTCGATTGTTGTTGAAAAAATTAAAAATGGTTTATGTGTGAATGCGGGAAGGAGTAGAATAATTGATGTTTAGAAACTGGAACGTTATAAAGTCACGGTTGACTGTTGTTTTAATTTTGAACATTGAACAACACATGACATTTTTGCTCCAACCGTTCCGGTCGTTCGTGTATTAATTTTTCACTCTAATCACTCCTAGATCACGTGACAAAAATCTGTTCTTCCTCCATTCCAACAGCTACGAAGGCAGTTGACTGCTGCGTTCGATAACTTCGCGTACGATATAAAATTTGCTCAACTACAATGTTGGATGCTTGTTTTAAATCATTTCGGAACAGTAAGCTTCTTATCCAACTCCACCTTTCTAGTACCAGCAAAACTTGTTCGAATCACCAATAGCTCTGAATGAGCTCAATCAACTAGATCAGAATTGATTTGGAAACGTGTTTCTAGTTGAAACGCGTTTACTAACTACCAGGGACCCGGACCGGAATGATATTGAGCCGAGAACCAAGAACCAACGTTTATAGAAATGTTGTAGGGCAGGCAGAACCGGAACCGATATAAATTAATTGGTTCTTACCGGTGTTTTTCGGTTCCAAGAATATATAAATTAAGCTGTTTGCTGTTCGGTCATATCGTAATAAATTTAACACTTTAGCCGCTTTCGGGTGCTCCTAAAATGTGTTTTCTTTTAAAGATAAAAGACAAAATGACATTATGTTGGCAATACAATGTAAAATTGTCAATGCTTTCAAATTTTTTATGTAGAAAAGGCTTGTGTTGCCAACATAGTTACCAGGGGCGGATGGGCTCAGGCGGGACACCGGGACGATTCCCGGTGGGCCGGAGAGCCAAGTGGGCCGGTTAAGGAAAAAAAAAATACGATAACAAACAATACGCCGCAACTTGATAGGAAAAAAATCGCTTAAGGCGTAATGCGACAACACTGCCAATTCAACAGAAAGCAGTCAACGTTTTTTGTCGTTTTCACAAGGCGTTGAGCTGCCATCTAATACTGGAAAATATTTTCATTAAAATTTAGACTTTTTCTGTAAATTTACCCTTTTTCTGTAAATTTATACTTTCTCTGTAAACTTATACACTTTTTCTGTTCAATCAGATATTACCGAGGACACTACCAAGCTTACCTATAATAACCCGCTAAGTTCGAAATTTTTGTCAGACATAATCAAAGTTACCAATAATAACCCGGTTAGTTTTTGTTAGTTTGCAATTATTGTAATCAGGGCCGGCCCTACCATAAGGCGAACGGAGCGAGCGCTCCCAGGCGCCAGACCCCGGGGGTGCCTCCGATTCGTTCCTTGGTGATAAAAAAAAGAGAAAAATATATTTTTGCTGTGAATCCTGTCTTCGGTTTTCGATATTCTGCTATCTGAGCCGCTTTCCAGTATGGAAATGTGACGCTCGGAGCTATACGTACGGACAAACGTCACACGTCATGACGGTGTGACATGTGAAATCTAGTGTGTGGCGTTCCCGGAGTGCTCTAAAGCGTGCCAATGTGCATACTGGAAAGCAGTTCTGCGATTCTGCTTGCGAGCAAGCGTGTAGTTAGTATGTAAATCCCATATGAATAACCTGTTGCGACGTTGTTTTATGACGCGCAGAAGTCGTGTGCGTGGCGTCGCCCCTACATGATCAATGATCATAATCACAATATTTCGGGATTAGAACTTTTAAGGGCCGGTTTATTGATGTTCAAGAAGAATTTGCTGTTAACTGTCTACAAGATAAATTCACCGATCATTTCTATTGGTCGATGGATAACGCGGACCAACAGGATTGAGTTGAGATTGCGTTTTTGTTCGTCAGATTGCACTACCTGACAGTTCATAAAAGAATGAATAAACCGGCACTGAAAACAAAAAAAAAATCTGTGGTTGAAGAACCTCTCAGTACTCCAGAACTTAGCATTGAATAATTGGCAATATACGTTTCCTAATAGCTCTCCCTATTTTTGTAGCCATTCTTGTGGCGAAAGAGTGAACGTAGCTTACCACTTAAACTTAACATAACTAAAACATACCTTAAGTCAATTCTAGCAGAAAACATACTTTCTGATCTAGCCCTGCTGTCCATTGAAACTCATATAGTACAGAATTGTTATATGAGAGGATTATGAACAAATTTGCAAATGCAAAAATGAGCAAACAGCGACTCACCTACAATTTTGTATTTTGCTGGTTCGATTTTTATATTTATAAGAGCCGGTTTATTCACCTTCTAACAAACTGTCAGAGTCAGGTACCTAATGCAATCTGACGGACAAAAACTGTATCTGCAATTCCATTAGTCGGCTAGTTATTTGCCGACCAATAGATTATAGGTTGATATCTATCTTGGAGATAGTTAAGAGTAAGTTTATGTGAAGATGAATAAATCGTGCCTGAGTGTTGATAAGTGATATTACCGTAGAAATTTCCATTATTTGTGTGTCTACTTTAAATCAACTCTTAAAAGAAAAAAAGTGGGTAAAGACGGTATAGTTAGAACCAACTAAGAAGAGCCCCTGACGTCATCACTGAAGAAGAAGGCAAATTTTTTAGAGGCCCTCCCATTTGATGTGAGACAAAAGATCACGCGGTGGCTTCTTCTTATTTGGTTTTATCGATACCATTGATACCAATGAACATGGATGTTTTCAAATTTCAATTGATAAGATAGTTAGAGACATCTAGGTAAAACAATGGTCAAAATCCATATGCAAAAGATTCACATTTTTAATAGGGGCGCCGAGAGGGACGCCAAAGTCGGATCTCGCTCCATCCTGAAAGAAGGCTCGGGCCGGCACTGATTGTAATCAGACATTACCGATAATAACCCGGTTAGTTTGCAATTTCAATAAGATATTTTCAAACTTACTAATACTAGCCCGATTAGTTTGGGTTAGTTTGGGTTAGTAAAATTATTATTAAAACTTACTGATGATAATCCGGGTTAGTTTGCAGTTTCAATCAGAAATTACCAAACTTACCGATAATAACCCGGTTAGTTTGGGTAAGTTTGCAATTTCAATCGAACTAACCATTTTGTTTTTAAAATTTGTGTTAGTTTGAAATCTATTGTAATCAAACATTACCAAACTCAAACCTACCGAGAATAACCGGTTAGTTTGGGTTAGTTTTCAATTTTAATCAGACATTTTTAAACTTACCGATGTTCCTGGTTAGTTTGGGGTTCAGTTTGCTATTTCAATCAGACATTACCAATAATAACCCGGTTAGTTTGGACATGCTTCAAAATTATTCATTTTCGAAAGAAGTTATTGAAAGTCAATATGTTCCAAATGGTTGATTTTTGAAATGAAAGCATTCGGAAAAAAAAATCGCAATTTTTGTTTTCGAAAAATAAACATAGACCTGTAATCTAGCAAAAAAGTTTTTTCCGGGCTATAATGCCGTGGTCCATTAGTATTTCTACCTAAGGTACCAGTAAATCAGGCCTTAGAGTATCTGAAAGATGTTTTTCCGGAAGAAATCAACAACTTATTTCACCACTGTCTGACGACTACGTACTTTCAATGGTAAAATGAATTCTTTGAGCAGACAGATGGAGTCGCAATGGGAAGTCCACTCAGCCCGGTTATCGCCAACTTTTACATGGAACACTTCGAACAAATGGCACTACGAACGGCTACAAAGAAACCTACTTGTTGGTTTCGTCATGTAGATGACACATTTGTTGTTTGGAACCATGGAGAGGCAGAGCTCGAAAACTTCCTTAATCATCTAAACTCGATAGAACCCAGGATACAGTTTACGATGGAAGTTGAGAAGGATAACAAAATTGCATTCCTCGACGTCCTCTTAGAAAGATTACCCTCAGGTAAACTGGGACACAGAGTGTACAGGAAGCCGACACATACGGACAGATACCTCAACAAGGAATCTAATCACCATCCTAGGCAAAAGAGAGGAGTCATTAAAACTCTATCTGACAGAGCAATCCGGATTTGTGAACCCAGATACCTTCAGGACGAGATGCAACACCTAAAATCGGCACTTGAAGGAAATGGGTACTCCAAGCAGGAGATAAATAGAGCCATAAGACCGAAGCAGCAGCGCACAACTAACAAGGAACCAGCACAGGTGGCAGGGAGAGCCTTTCTTCCCTATATCAAAAATGTCACAGATCGCATAGGACGAACGCTAGAAAGACACAACGTTAAGCCTATCTACAAGCCCACAAGAACAATTCAGCAAAGTCTAAGATCGGCTAAAGATCCTAGGGCACCTCTTGAATTGGCTGGGGTCTATAGAATTCCCTGCTCTTGTGGATCTGTCTATGTAGGAACAACCAAACGCTCTATCAACACCAGGGTCAAAGAGCACAAAAGAAACTGTCAGCAAGGACAAATAGATAGATCAGCAATCGCCGAACACGTGCTTACACAAACAAACCATGTCATTCGTTTCGACCAGACTCAAACATTGGATAGAACCAAACATTTCTACACCAGACTCCACAGAGAAGCCATAGAGATACAGAAACACCACAACAACTTCAACAGAAAAGAAGAGGGCATGAACCTCAATAAAAGCTGGTTGCCAGTTCTCCGAAAAACAAAGACCCTTCCTTTCCGAGAACGAGACAAGGAAAATACCGTAATCCAAGCCACGCCCACAACCCTGGATATAAATAACGCAGTTCCCTCAACGTCGAATTCAGTCATCGGAGAAACACGGAAGAGAACGCTTCGTCCT